TGATTTTTGGCCTGACACGAGACCCAGCTCTCTCATCTGGAGGGGTTGTTAGTAGAAGTAGTTATTCTCTTCTGGGCTGGATATTACTACTCTTGAGGGTGTTCTCAAAATGATCCACAGAACATGCATTATAGACACCTGGGGAGTGTGATAAAATTATAGAATTTGGGTTCTAGATCAAATCTATTTAAATAAAATCTGTGAGGGTGAGTTTCCAGGAAACTACATGTTAAGCAGAAAGAAGAGTCTTGGGCAAAAGAAAGATGGGACACATGACCGTAAAGGGTGAGCCAGCATAGTCCAAAGATAGGTTAGGGTTTTGGAAGGCATGGATGTGGTTCTCCCTCACTTCCACGGTATTGGATGTGTCTCTTTCAGTTGAGATGGTAATAGGTAAGCACACAGATGGGAAATAAGGAAAACAAGAAGTGGGTTTGGAAAGAGTGGTGGGATGAGGGATGAGATGGGAATTACTTCCAAATCAAGAGGTAAAGAGAACAAATGTTATAATAGAACAAGAAGACTATTTGTTAGACAAATGAGACTATTCAGGATCTTAAAAAGAATGTAAAAATTAATCAAAAGATATAGAAATATCTGTAATAAATATAAAATTGACATATAGAAATAGACAAATTTAAATTGTAATTTATTACATACTAGTAATTATAACTAGATCTGGCTGTTTGCCTATTATGTCCTAATTTACTGGTATGTTCAATGTAGGCTGTTTGCCTGTACCATTGTTCAATCAGAAAAAAAGGAACAGACAGCCATTAACTTCTAATCCACTTCAAAATGATGCAGCTATCAGTACTGCTTCTGACAATTATGATTTCCCTCCTTTACCAACAGGTAAGAAAATGAATAAGGTGAAAATTTTCAGAAAGTAAGAACTAGTATTATAGAAAATTACAATTCCTATTTTACTATAATGAAAAGAAAGTATACTGTATTATTATTATACTCCACTGTCCAAATACAGAGATTACTTGGCTCTTTCTCAACAAGAGTTTGAGTTTCCTTGTTTGCGAGGGTGGTTTAGCATTTAAATGGGAGTATCTTAGATCTGGAGCCTTTGTCCTATTGAAGTAGTAGTCTACATAGTAAAGATTTTTTTTTTT